TTCGGGAACAACGATTAACTGATTTGAATAATTTAAAAAAATCTATTCATATTGATAAGGAGACGTCCTGATTAGTTTTTGGCAAAGACAGGTCTAGCCGTTCTGAAGAAATTGGCCAAAAACTGCCAAAACCGGTAACACAGTTTTTGAGAATGGATCATTCAATTTTAAATGATCATTAAACTTATGCACATACGTTCGATATTTTGTCTCTATGCAGCTAAAGCAGGGCGATTGCTTTGAAAAGTTTAAAATTTCTAAAATAAAAAAAACATTTTTCCAAAGGCTTTTTTTTTTCAAAAATTCAATTTTTTTCAAAAATCTAATTTTTTCAAAGTTTCAAGAATTTTTGATGCGGAAAGTTCCAGCAATTTGCCTTAAGGCACAACCCACTAGTTAATTCATATTTTCATCATAAGAAATCTACCCAATATTTCTTTCATACCAAACTAGCTATACTGTAGTTTGATGAAAGACACACTTAAATTGCATCACGTGCCGGACATTCATGAGCAGTTTGCAAAAGTTATGTCGACGGAACAAACAGACGATTTTAATTTGTAAGACAAAATTAATGAAAATGAAATTAATGAAATTGAGCTCGAATAATATAATGAGAATGTACGCTATAACAAAAACAATAGCACAATAATATACAATACTATACAAATTGAGTGGTTGACAAAATCATTAATTAGTAAGACCATAATAATGATAATAATGGATAGTACTGCCCAAAGAAAGGTCTGTGAACTGAGTTAAACTCCAACTCAGATTGAGGGTAGGAGTAGTGTGAGAGTTTTTCCCATTTCCATTCCTTGCATCATACTAAAACTTAATACCATTACTATTTATTTATAGAAACTTATAGCCTTCAAGTTAGTTCTTTCTTCATTATTTGAACCGCAATTAGAATTTTTCTCAGTATTGTATAAGGTGTTGTGATGTATTTTTTATTACCTAGCTTTATAAGAAGAAAACCCAATGATTGTGCTTTCTCTTCGTGATGAAATTTTTACATACTTCTAATAATGTCATATATTGCATAATACGCCGAATTGCTATTTTCACTAACAGAAATATTTAGATCAATATTTTTAAGTTTGAAGTTGTGTTAATATCACAACTGTTTGATATCAGGTTGCATTTAATGTGGGATTTGAATTGAAATCGAACGCCCATTATTTAAGGGTATATTATCGTCTATAGGCATGAATTTTATGCTATATTTTACTTATTAATGTTTTGAGAATATAAAAAAATATATATGAAAAATAGTTTTAGTTATAATGTGGGGCATACCCATGATTTAAGTCCTCCAAATAATCTGAAGAAAAAAAATTATTTTACAACTTCTTTTCATATTTTCGATCTTTTTAATAATAAATATTGGAATTCACGGGTGAACGTAGTTACTGAAGAGAAGTCTATAAGGGGTATAATCACGTGAGGTTTTTAGGGAGAGGAGGTGTTTGACAAAAAATCTCAAAATATCACGTGGGGGGAGGGGGTAAAGTAAGATTTCACTCGTATTTATTTCTTACCTAATTTTTTTTAAAAGTTCCGAACATTTTCGAAAAAAATTTAAAATTTTTACAACTTTTTCACCACGTTTCATAGACAATGTGGAGGAGGGAAGGGTAAAAAAATCCTTAAAAAATCAATCACTTGATTAATGGACTCCCCATAAAGAAGGCCCTGAAAAATTTTCAGGTAAATCGGTACTGTAGAAGTTCAGAAATTATGGGTATCGTATGGGAAAAGACAGTTTCGAGAAAAATCAAAGGAGGACTATCATGGTCAAACAGTTATATCTCAGAAAATAATTTAAATTTTGAAAAATCCTCTTATACACATATTCTTGAATAGTTTAAAACTTTGAAAATAACAAATGGTTTGATGTTCTAGAATCTAGACTAAAATACTCCCTTAAGCTTTTTAAGCAGGTTCTGAGTTTTATTCTCGTTATTCGAGAAAAAACAAAAAAAAATTATTTCTTAAAAATTACAATTAATTATATAAAATAACTGAACTGTATATGTATAGTAATCCTCCTCGAGCATAGAGATCTCAGATCTTTTATAGGTAAAATTATGCTCTATCAGCAAGGTGGTTCGTGTAATTAGATGTAAGCGGGATGGATCCCGTAACTTTCTGTCTCCAAAAACATAAATTTTAATGAAGCCGGCAGTAATTGTGCAGTGAAGCGTAACATCAACATCAAACAAAGACAAAATACTTCGATCAACAGAAAATGATAAAAATGTATGTTTTATCTCATTAGATTGTCCTTGTGAACTAATAATATAAATAATAAATGGTGCATAGGCAATCATTTAAATAGATACCATGATTAAATATTTTAATAGATATTGTGAGAGTCTTCTTTCCAGAAATGCGTTTGTGGTACGTGACTGTTACAATGTACGCCAGTCTGGATACCAGTACGTCAAGTATTCCTGCCCGAGGTCATTAGATTAACGGGTCACTGTTCTTACGTAAAATTCACGCTTAGAACTACTTATTCCAAAAGACACACACGATGATTACGATAGTTGGTGCATATAAAATTTACTATAATTTATTAATATATATTTGGATCTTAGAGCTTCAAATGGCTTCGGTATAGTGCTTTTATTAAGGGGGTATTCCAGTCTACAAACATGAATTTTATGTGATATTTGAACGGCCATAAAAACGGCAAACAATATTTTTACTATCAAGTTTTATAAGTTATTAATTAATGTTGCAATATTAAAGACAAAAATTTCAAATTAAAAAAAAAATCTTTAATAAAGTTTTGATTGACAAAAAAAAATTAGAACGATCAATTTTTAACCCTTACGCTGTGGGTGTGCTTTCCGCAAGAGTGTCACTGCTATACGAGAACAGCGTGCCACTCTATTGCTCTACTGAAAGAACAAGCACAACGATATATTTTAAGATGTTCTAATTGTATAAGTATCAATGTATTATATAGAACTTCAACAACTGTATAGCTAAATTATAAAATAGGTTTAATGGCTAAATTATGTAAATTGAAAGCCAAAAATCAAATTAAAAATATATAATTAACAATATATTTCTATGATCAATAAAAATGTCTTAAATAATTTTTTTTGTTAAATTAAAAATTATGCTTTTAATGAACTAGAAATTACAATAAAAGATTAGAATTCTCAATTCAACAGTTGAAAAAGTTGTTAACTCATGGTGATAAATCTTGAAGCAAAGGCAAACACAATATGTCGTCCAAGGACGACATCCATAGCGGAAGAATGAATTCAAGCTAGATATGAAGAGGGTTGTCTCAAAAAATTGATACGTAAGGTTACCTCTGATTTTAGCTACTCCCCATCTATCTAGAATCTAGATCAATACCGTCTTCGTATGAATTACGGCTACGAATGTCGTTCTAACTACCTGGTTCAATTTTTTTCGCAAAATAGCGAAATAGCATGAAAAAAATCTTTTTCTTACAACTTTTTTGATATTCTCGATTTTTTTAAAAATAGTAAAAATCGGAATTTGGTGATGAGCGAAGTTCATACTGTTGAGAATTCTATAAAGAAGACTATAGAATTGAAGTGAATCGGTCCAGTAGAAGTTGAAACATCGTGGAAATAATATCGAATAAGAAAAAAAGTTTCGAGAAGCATTATTGGTCCAGTAATTATAGTAAGTTCACCTCGAAATTCGAGATACCCAGCTGTAAGTCTGTAAATACTCGTATATTGACACCCTAAAGTTGTCTCAAAAACTACATATGGTATTGACCATATGTAGGTTTTGAGATAACTTTTTAGTGTCAATATACAAGTCTTTACAGGCTCACAGCTTGGTATCTCGAATTCCGAGATTTTTACCTAATTTAAGTTTAAATGACTGGACTATTAGTTTTGCGAAGAAAAAAAAAAACAGAGGAGGATCGTGGTGGTCTAACAGCTATATCTCCGAAAATAATTTAAGTTTTAAGAAATCCTTTTGCACATATATTCTTCAATAGTTAAAGGTCGTATATTTTTATATATTTTTTAATCACAATCTGTCCACATTATGAGGACATTCAGTATGTAACTTTGTTGATATGTAGTGTATATTTGTATTTGGTAGGCAACTTAGTAATTGTTCTCTACAATTATGACTGAAATGGCATGCCTTCTAATATTTTTTGAATTTTTTAGATTTTATAAAGCAGCTGTGCCCGCAAAAGTCAATTTTCACTTCAGATTATATTTGAGATCTATAACTTCAAGTGAAAATTTGATATCACGCTGCTTGATGTAAAGCATTAATCAGGTTGACGGGAAATATGTAATTATTCTATCTATATATCTATTATAACTAGCGTCCAGGGACTTATTGATAGTTGGACATTCAACTATAAGCAAATATATTAATTATAAAAAAGAATATTATAACTGATTATGGACTGTCTGGATTTTAAAAGTATTGTGTATTAGTAAATAATGCCCAAAAACTTTTTTTCTGTACTCTTAATTGTTCTTGGTTTATTTATACGAACACCATTTTAATTTTAATTTTAATATTATTGCTAGTTATTTGTAGTTGAGGATACGTAGAATGTCAATACTTATACTTTATACAAGATCAATCAAATTCATTAGAGCTCTAATGTAGTATCTGGTATCTAGTATCATTACTATATTACTCACTGTGTTAATAAAAATAAATAATTCATTAATGATCTGCGGTAAGTCTATAAAAACATGATGAAGAAAACATGAAATAGGAACTAAACTTAATTATAATCACATCAAAAATCATTATTACATTCAAGAATGTCTTAATCATAAGTGATAGAAAATTCCCAAGTACAGGACGTCACGAAACATTCATAGTTAATATTTATCCAATTCAACAAAAAAACAAGCGATTATAGGAACTCATTGAATGATTCTCCATTCTTAATATAAAATCCCCTTATGAAATAACTCAAACTCACTCATGCATTTCATCATTAACTATATGAAATTTACCTATTGGACTTGAGGTTTTCTGGTAACAAAACGTTCCACCAGCTCAATCTACGTTTGTTAGGTTCGAAATAACGTTCATTCAATTCTACTTCATCCAAATTTTCTATCGATCTGTCAGGTGAGTGAGGTCTGGATCTTTCAGGTGTTCCAAAATCTGAGCCATTTGTTGCGCCTGTTCTGCGTTTTCGGACTTGCCAAGTACTTTTACTGCGTCTCGGTTCAACCTCGTCTTCATCTAATGCACCTTGAGACTATGGGTGAAGGCCACATTTCATTCCACTCATGTTACAATGTTATTTTATTGACCGAACTTATTGTTAGTAAATGTAAAAATTATTTTTATCTGTCGATTTTTAACGAAATTAAAAAAAATAATGAAATGAAATTTATACCAACTTTATACTTGTTTCACGAGTTAATAACAAACGGACAACTAGATTAACAATTAAAATTCAGTTAGGAGTACACCTAAGTCTGTTTTTACACGGTAGATTGGTTCTAGAAGAAGCCGTGTAAAAAAAAAACATGTAAAAAAAGGCATTGATCTTATACAAAAATGGGTGATTTGTTCCTAATCTCTAAAACCTATTAAAATTAGTGAAAAATAAGAATTTTTAAGAACAAAAATTCGTGTTTATTTTATTAAATCAAATATATAATGCTTATTTTCACAAGCAGTAATTAATGATAAAAAACATATGCACACTAATCTTAAAAGTAATATAAATTAAATGTATGGCAAGTTCAGGAACTAAAAAACCATGTTGTGAATGAAAAGAACAGGTTATTCAATTTTTGAGGTAAAAAATAAAATAAAATAGAATAAGTGATAATCATAAATACAACAACATAAATTTAATTGTTAATTTAAAAATTAAGTACATAAAATTTCAAATCGTGCTAAATGGAATAAAATCTTGTAAAAAAATTAAAAATATTCAATTTTCAAACCGTGTTATATCAAAACCGTGTAAAAACAGACTTAGGTGTATATTTTTATATTAATAACTTTTACAAAAATCATTTGTGGTTCATGTTAAAATTAAAATAAAAAAAATTAAAATTGTGATATAAATTAAATCAAATTTAATAATAATTAAAAATATTATTTGATATAGTAACTAATATTGCAAATAATATGTACTTAAATGAATAACAATCTTATGTTATTTAGTATTGTTAAAAATATACAAAATAAGAATAATATTTTTAGACAATCCACAAAAATAGGCTCGAACTTCTAATATAAAGGCACCATAATTAAATATTGTTGGTCAATTCTAAATTCGTCACAAGAATATTGCCAATTAGTATAAAAATTACATAATTTCTTAGACTGAAACTATTAATTAATTTTGAGAAAAAAATTTCTTTTTAATTTTATTTTCATTCTGCAATCTATAAAAATAATTACATTTAGCAGAGAATGCTGACAAGTTGTTTACAATTGATTGTCTACAAATTAATAGATACGCCCAGTGGCGTTAATATAAAAAAACGAAAGACAAATATGGAGAAAAAAAATATAAATACTTTTCCTTTTGAAAAAAATGATTCAGTTTAATGTGAGAATATAAAACACGTATCAAAAAGTGAATAATAAAACGCTAGCAAATTATAAAACAAATATGATCTGTATCTATAAAAAAGTTAGACGTAGTGAATAAAGTGTTAATTAAATCTTCAATTACTTCATAATTTAACATCAGCAATATTAAATTAAAAACTTTACGGGCCTAACGACTTTGAATGTTATTCAACAAGTACATATTTGCATTGAAAAACTATTTCTATGTTAAATATTAATATTAAAATTTCAATATATATACTTCCGCTTTGTTAGGAAAAAAATAAGATTTTCGATCTTAATTTGAAAGAAATACAAGTTCGATTAACTTATTAAGCATATTTTTTTCTTCTTCCTAACCTTGCTCAACTCCTTTTTCGATTTTGAGAAATGTACAGCCAGAGAAGATCTCCTGTTGGATTTAGCAACATTTTCTTTGGAATCGGAATTTAAAGCCAAGGAACTCCTACGTTCCTTGTTCAGATTTCCGAATAGAGCTAATGAGCTGCGTCTGTGCTCTTTTCTTTTCTCCTTATCTTTATCTTTATCTTTACTAGATGTCTTTATTCCTAATCCCAAAATATTATATGTCGAGTGTCTTCTTTTATCAGAAGGATCGACATCCTTTAATGCACTTTTCTTTCCAAAAATGCTTAATCTTTTAGTTCTTAATTTTTCAGAGTTATGAGAATCATTTAGGTCACTGTTGATTTTTTGGTTGATTTCATTAATACTGGCTAAAGATCTGCGACGCATAGAATCCTTTTCGGTATCATTTAGCAAATGAATGCCATTTGGAGATTCGTTAATGTACAAAGTAGCCATTGTTTTGGCTTTTAAATATCACTTATTGTTATATATCACTTATTACTTTATAATAACACTGGTAAAACATAGCATTATCAAAGTTTTTGGTTCACATTTTCCTAATAAAATATTAAAAAATTATAAAAATAATATTCATTCGAAATGGAAAATGATCTTAACACTAACGATCTGCAAGCTGGAGAATTTCAACTGATAATGACCCTTAGAGTATTCTGAAATCGTCTTCAAAATGTTTAATGCGGAATGCAGTGGCTTATCATACAAAAACATGCAATTATGAATTGAAGTAAACAAACACAGACGACAAGCAAACACGGAAAGATGGCAATTTTTATTAGTACATCACCATAAATTAAGAATGCATTATGACTCTGTTGTTGATTCTGCTGTTCTTTGCATCTTTCAATTGAGTAGAGTTACGATCAAACCACGTATGTAGAGAAAACAATATTTTTTCAGAAATACAATTTTCATTTTAACAATACGATTTATTGATAGAGAAACAAACTTTAATTGAATCTAATATAAGGTAGCCATATTTTTTGAGACGAAAACCGGAACGGCTAAATGACTTAAATATGATTAAAAATAACAAATATACTATATTTAACGACACAATGGTAATCAGTTTTTTACATGAATATTTTTTTTCAAATCAGAATTACTGACACTTAATAGAACTTTATCATTCGATTATATGTGAAATTTTTCAATTTAAACGTTTTTCGCTATTAAGCCTTGCATAGAGGGTATGGGCATGTTTCCATACAGAATCGGCTCCACCCTGGTATTTATAAATAATTTTGATGGCATTTCATAGGTCTTTTCGAAAAAAATACGACATACCAATTTTCAACTCCCGATCTCATTATTTGGTCAAGATATCAGTGAAAACATGTGAAAGTGGCCCCTTTTTTCAAACTCACTTTTTGTGGGAAATATATAAAATATCGAAAAAATATTAACTGATGATTCCATTCACATTGATCTTGTCTATATTGTTCATAACAAATAATGTGAATAAAATATTTGTTAGTTAAATTTTCTTCATAATTAACCCTTTCCACTCGCGAATTCCGAGATATATATATAAATATCGGCGGCATCCGAGTCGAAAGGGTTAATTAATTGTTAGTAAAAAGAAGCATTTCGAATCGTAATTGTTGCTAATTATTGAAAAATTGAAAATAAAAGTTCACAATTATTAATGTGAGATGATATTTTAACACTTTGGAATTTTGCATTCGGAAATTTTCGCATTCACAACGTATTGCTTCATATAAACAAACTCGTCGTTTTTGTAATTTACAGATATTTGATGGGTAGATGTAATTTTATTATTAAGGGGTTACATGCGTTTCACGATTTCAAGAAATCGAATTTTTTTATTATTTTATTAAATTATATTGTCCTAAATTTTCAAGTTGGTCCGACTAATAGTTTCGGAGATACAGCTTTGGAAAGGTGAACGCTCGAGGTCCACCCTTATTGTCTCTTAAAACGCGTTTTCTCAAAACTATGTTTTCAAAAACGGTTGTCAAGATTTCTCGCGAATTACTCAACCGATCTTGATGAAATGTTTCACAGATCTTCGAGAAATCATTTACAAGATCTTGAATGAACGATTTTTTTTAATTACAACTATTTAAAAAAAATGTCGAGAAATTTTCATCGAAATTAGCATTTTTTTTTTAAAACATCTGCCAAAAATCCAACTTCCATTTATTTTCTTCTCTTTCGTCCAATACATAGTTTATTGTCTTTACTAAAACGCGTATTTTTTATTTTTATTTCGGATGATCCTGAAAGAAGTTTTGCTGACAACGCGGAGGCATTTTTTTTCCGAGGGACTGCAGGAAATGGCGTCGTAATGATATTTTTTTTTGAAAATTTTGCAAAATGTTTACTAAATATGTATCTTTTAGATAAAAAAAGATTTCATTTTTTATATGTAAAAAAATTATTGAAAAAAGATCGTCTTTTGCCCCAGGAAACCCATGTAACCCCTTTTAAGTAATTGCGAAAATTTAATTTAAAGCTATACTTTTGAAAAGAAAAAACGAGACAACCCGGAAAAAGGGTCAAAATTCGAGACAAATATTGCAGTTAGGAAAACCCAGAACACAAGGTGGTAACCCGGATCTTATCTAATATGGTTAACCAAAATTGATCAATGCACTTTCTTTACCAAAACCCAAAAATATACCCAAAGCAAAATACAGTACACATCGTCACTACAATTCTGTAAAAATTTTAAATAAACTTCAACGACTTTTTATTACCATATTATTGCCATTAGCTTTACAAATTACAAACTAACGTTTTGTTTATATAATTGATCGAGATTTAACAAAAAATATTAATTACATAAATATTTAATTCATTAAATATTTTATGATTCAAAGAGAATGCAAAAGATAAATTTTAACATATACCAGAATTTACAAATATATCTTGCAAAAGATTTACCAATACATTAAATTAACCCTTCGTCGGGCGCAGCCGATCTGACAGATACAGAGCCAATAATTTTTCATGCTGCGCCTTGGTTGAATGTTATAGAAACCTCCACTCTTCAATAGCCTCCTAATTTTATATGTTTTAGTCATGCGTCTTTATCATTTTGTGTTTGACCTTCACATATAGTGGCAATCGGTATTTTGATCCTAGAGATACACTGCGCCCGAACGTGCAACGTTTTGATACGTACGAATATTGCAATTTTTTGTGCATGTAAGTATTCTTTTTCTGTATTTTTTACGTATTTTTGAATATATATCTTAATACTTTTCATTTAATTGAAATTTTTTGAAAGTATCTACGAGATTCACTGCGCCCGAATGTGTTACTAACTTGAGTCCATACATTTTATAGGCTAGTAAATATGGTGAGTGGTAAAAAAATATATAATTTAGAAAACCAGCTCATGCAGAAGAGATTCTAAGAATGCTGAATGATGATGCTAATGAAAATAATCTTCTTGACGGTTTAGGCGATGAAAGTGGAAGTGACGAAGACCATCTAGAGAGTCGCAAAGTCGATTCTGAGACAGAACAAGAGGACGAACAGGATGAAAGTGAGGAACAAATAAATTTGAACAATAATGCTAAATATTTTATGAGTAGAGATAAATCTACAAAGTGGTGTAGCAAACCTCCCTCTAATAGGATTCGAACAAAATCCCAGAACTAATTAAGACATTTACCAGGTGTTATAGGAAACGCAAAAAATGCTGCAACGCCTATAGAATGTTGGAGTCATGGTAAGAAAGATCTCCGAAGAAGATATTTTTTGAGACAATTATCGCATGAACTTCTAGAAGTGAAATCACGAGTGGGATTCCGTTCACTTTGCAGGCAGGACTCAAAAGATTCAGACCAAATTCACAGGAAAATGGTTCACAATAACAAGAAGAGCCACAAAAAAACGGCGATGTGAACCGTGTACATTAGAAGCTAATATTAGACGGTTTTCAAGATTTTGTTGTGCTAATTGTCGAAAAGCACTGTGTTTACAACATGCAGTTTTCTATGCAGTGCTTGTTCAAATGCTTGTGTAAATCATGATATTTAACTATACACATTAAACTATCATTATTATATTACTTATTTTTAATAAAGTGACAAATGAAAAAAAAGTTAGAGACTGTGTATTTCAATAAAGAAAAGTGAATGTAAATAATTTGTGCATATATACACAGGTTTATATTTTTCTACATTTTATAATAAAATATTATTGAATTCTTTTTTTCTTTATTTATTCAAAAAGTATACATTCTGAAATATAATTAAACAAAAAATAAACATGTTTATAAAATAAGGAGCCTCCTGAAGATATACTTAAAAACCGTTGCTGTCGGATACACTGCGCCCGAACGTGTGCGTAACGGGACTGCGCCCGACGGAGGGTTAATAAAATATTGCAGATTTACCAATAAATCTTTTTATAATGTACTTAATTTGAAAGATTATTATAGTAAGTAATATTATAGATATAACATTATATTACGTTATATATATTTCATGATTTTCCTTATCCAATTGCTTAACAATTTTATGTAATAATAATACCTTATTAACGAAATATGAATGAATTTCGAACCCTGGCCGCGTACAGCAGGTGACGTAAATATTAAAGAAAATACAACAAATAATTAAATTTCGAGCGGCTTAATTTGCATATTGTATTAGGATAATTTGTAATAAATTTACGATGTCTTTTACAGTTAGCAGAATAGAAGTAAATATTGACAGTGAAATTAAACACCGTTTAAACTTCAATTGAGAACATTTGCGGCACCTTAGGTGTTAATATATTTTTCACATACAGTAAAAACCAGTTCCGTGAAACATTAGTAATAAAAATTGATATTTGTAAGTTTAATTTTATGGATCAGCAAAATAATATATTTAAGGGGTTATTCTACTCTAGATATGAAATTTATGCGATTTCTTAAAGGCCACAACAAAAAGGCAAATACTATTTTTACTTTATTCTTTTACAAGGTACTAACAATTAAAGTTTTGCAAATATAAAAAAAATAATAGTCGAAAAGTTCTAATTCTAGAAGGCAATTTAGAAGAAGGTCCCAAAATATTGGCACCTGACCATACCCATGATTTTAGCCCTCCAAATAATCTGAAGAAAAAAATAGATAAATATTATTAATCGATGATAATGTCGCAAAAGTATGAACTACGAACATGATGAATTATTGTTTTTCAGAAAATAACGACTCTCTGAAAAAAAAATCATAACTATTTAACAACTATTTTTTAAAAAGTGTATAGTTCATTCTGAAAAGTAGTCTAGAAGAAATATTCTGTAAAACATTCAACTAAATCGGTCCAGTTGAGAAATCGTGGTTATCGAAAAGGAGAGTTTCTAGAAACACTTGTTTAATGTTTCGCAGAGAAAGGAAATGGAAAATGATTATTACGCCAAAAAACTATATCTCCACAAACAATTTGAATTTTTTAAAGTCCTTTCGTAACAAATTCTTGAATAGTTACTCTTCGAGAAAAAGATTGTTTAAAAATTCTAAAGTAAAATACCCCCTCAACGATATTATTTCTAAAGTAAGTTGCTTTTTAACTATACGAGGTCTGTTCAAAAAGTACCCGGAATTTTCGTTTTTTCAAAAAAATATTTATTTATTCGTCTACATTAATGTGG